TACTTAGGTCCATTTTATCTGCTGAATCAATAGGATTTACTTAGTGCTAATGCACTAAACAGATTATGAGAACTAATGCAGTACTGTTCAATGACAAAAGCAAATAACTCTTTGAATGATCTTGACAAAAGAACATGAAATCATCTTAATTTGTATTAACTAATTGCATTTAACATGGATGGTTTTTACCTATTACCTTAAGTGAAGCATCAGTACAGTAACTTCCTTCCCCCATCTCATTTTAGCAGTGAAGTAGATCAGAGCAACCAGTATTAAGAGTTAGTGGAATGATACTATGTAAAATTTTACATCAGTGGAGTTCTTTAAAAAAATATAGTCTCAGAAAGGGATTTACTTTCTCTGTATTTTATAAAAAAAAAAAAAATCTTCAAATTGCTTTCAAATAAATGAGGAATGTTGGGAAGAGGAGGAAGGAAGAAGAAGGAAACAATTCTTTGTTTAAAACAAAAAGAGGAAACAACTCTTCTAACTTTCAGAGTAAAGCTTCAGTGCCTCAGCACAAGTTCTTAGAAACAGAAAACCCAGTCTCCTGTCCCAGATGTGTTCACAGCACCTACACACCCTCAAGGTGTCGTTCACTGGTCAAGAAGAAATCAGAAGCACGGTGGATCTTCTTCTGTGGGAATTGTTCACCATATGAATTGGTGTCCACTGGCAAAGTTGAACCATTCAATATTATTTGTTTTTTCCTTCCCTAGGATCGCAAGAATCATAATTACCATGACGATGATCAAGTCACTGTCATCCTCAGGCAACAATCTGGCTTAACTGAATTACTGGGGCCAGAATACCATTCTTGTATTTCTCATGGAGAGAAGCAGTGAGCACATGTACTTCTCACCTGAAGAGAAATACTGCAAACTACTCAGAAAATTCAAGTGTATTACAGAACAGCAAAACTGTATTGGCTAAAAATACACAAGAATATTTAGAGAGGAAAATCTGATAAGGTTCTTCTGTGTTCCTCATTCTTACTCTTCCTGTTCAGAGTCTGCTGTACCTGTAAATTCTTCACCATTATGTGTTTGCTTCCAACAGGACCCAATCCTGAAACCTGTAGTTTTATTATTCATCTTAATTCACCGACTTCCATAACAGAAGGGATAAGTAACTTATACACTCTCTCAGGTTTTAATTGTCTTGGGAACCAATTTATGTAGCATCATCTATTCATTCACTCTACAGCAGTTTCTTTGAAAAAGGATCCAGCTCATTTAGCAGTAGCTCATTTCCCCCTACTGTTATGTTGTAGAGATGATCTTAAGGGTCTTTTCCAACCTAAAGTATTTCTTGATTCTATGGAAGGAGAAACACTGTTACCACTTGTTAGTGCCCACTTCTCTTGAGGGAGACTCCCAGAATTCATAGCAGAAAACAAAAGTTAATACTTATGATTTTGATTCCTGACAGCCAACAAGTTAAAAGCTTTCATATAAACAAACCATCAGGGAATGAGACTTATGCATATTCCTACTTTCACTTGAATTCTTCTTCATAACTGTAGTATTTTATGATTGACACTAGGAAATATCACCTAGTTACTTTCAGACCATTTCTCCAATTTGTGAAATTAAATTTTATTTTTAATGATGTCCTACAAATGGCTCACAAGACAGTATGAAATGTTCTGCAGTGATGAAGTCGTTGATTTCCAGTTTATTCAAGACATGAATCATAACATCCAGACTTTACATACAATAACACTTTCTAATTGAGCACTGCACTTAACTAAGAGGAGCAGGGTTCGGTCAGCTCTTAGAAGGATAAGCCTGGAGGAGTGTTTCTCCAATTTGCAGTCACTGCAAATAACAGAAAAGCTCACAAAAACATCTTTCGATAAAGTTTTGATCCCCCCCCTCCCTTAGTGTAGTATTCAGATTAAAAACTAGACTTTGGAATCATTTTTCTGACATTGACCTAACTGGGTATTTTTCTGAGATTTTCATTAATGTCTGTCAGAATTCCGCTCCATTTTGCACCTTTGGCTCCAAATGTGCAACTCTGTCTGAAATACTTTATGCTCACTGAATATGAGATATAAACCACCAGTTAATTGCAAAACTGTGACAGCTCCTGATAACTCTGCTCAGCGATGTCTAGAGACTTTTTTGGCATATCCGTCTTCTGTGGACCAAATCAAGGGTAAATTCTGAAACACCTCAACTTCCCCTATGAACAAATATGATAGTGTTAGTTATCTCCTACCCTTCTGGACACAGCTGTAAGGCAGGGCTTGCTCACACCTCATTGCATTCCAGTGGCACATCTGTGCCAGCTTCACAAAGCCCTCACTATGAATCACACGCACAATTGGCACCTCTTGTCCTACAAGAGAAGCAATATAGCTGAACCCAAGCACTTACCCATGCTCTAATCATCCATTTCAATAGCTGTGTGATTTCTCACTAGAACTTGGCATAGTATCCAGGGTGCATCATCTGACATCAGTTATTTTTCCACATTGACAGCCAAATGGATAGTTATGTGTACTGAGAGGGAGGGTGAGAGGGTGGGAGGAAGGGAGAGAATCAGGCTTAAAAGTGTTAATTTAAAGCAGCTTCTTTGCCGAAGTTTTCCCTGTTATCAATCTTCCTTTCATTTTCTAAGTACCCTTTTAATCTCTTCATTGCTACTCAAAGATCAAAGCCTTCCTATTTCTTGAACAACTAATCATACATTGTGGTTAATCCATGAAGCACTGGGTTTTGTAAGAACCATATGTGTAACAATCTGCAGGTTCTTGAGCCGATACCAAAATTATGGCATCTCTGAGGAAGGCTGACTTTGTGGCTGAGCTGACTTTGAAGAAGCTAGGAATGGTGTCAGGGCAAGCAGGAAAATCTAACCACTTTTTTTAAAGAGCTTGAATGGGGTTTCAGGAGGCGGCATGTTAGGATGTTTGAATTGTGCTGAAATGACTATGTAGGAGGAGGTAGATTAGCACAGGAACCTCTCTCCCGAAATTCATTTGCTTATGGAAAGAAAGGAGTTACAGGAAAAAGCAGAGATCCCAAGTTGGGGAGTGTAAAATCAGAAATTCGCCTTATTTCAAAAAAGCATGAAAACTGTACATCTTTCTACACTTGAACTATTCATACTCATTGTATGAGTAATCTTTGTACAGATGTTTCAGAAATACTTTTAGCCTGGGTAGGACATAAGTGCAAAAGAATACAGCTTTTAGCTTGTTTGGTGGCCAAAACAAAGAAAAGCTAAATTTGCCCACTGATGATTTAACCCAGTCAAATACTGGGTTAAAAACCACTTAAAGTGTGTTCAGTGTTCCTAGTTCAAAGTATTAGTTCAGTTTCTGCTGAATAAAACACACTGTATATTAACAGTTAATAACAAGACTAATATAGCAAACCCTTTAGTATGTGGATAGCGCAACTGTTAAGTCACTGCTGTATCGGATCTAATTTAGAAGCCCTCTTTCTGTATCATTAAGACGCTGCACAGAGATTTCAATTGCTCATGTGTTCTTATGCAGGTTTTCACCTAAATGATACAGTAAATTGGCAGGGCACCTTCAGAAAAGCTGGCACTAGCCCTGACTGCAACACCCAGGGATTATAGAAAACTTCACCCACCAGGGCTGTTACTGCGCTCAGTTCAGAAACATCACAATTCAACAGCAAAGGACTGAGCTATTAGGTTGAACATTTTTTGATAGCATTTTCAATGCCTCGAAACTTGCCTTGGGTTTTATTCCAACAAGAAATTTTTTGTTCATTGCTTGCTTTCTTATAGTACTTTCAGGGAAAGACATCTAAATCCAGAAAACAAGACAAAAAATTTTACTCCGACATGCTCTTTAAGGGGATGATGCAAATCTGTTGAATTTAGTGGACTCTTGACTGTCTTGAAAAGGTTTCATTCAAGCTTTTTAATAGATTTTTTAAAATGTGTTTGTGACATAAACCAAATCAGTTAAAAAAATTAGGAAAAATGAAGCTCACTATTGATCTTAACAGAGGGAACCACCATAAGATCCTTTATAATCTTCCTACATGTTTATTCATAAAGTACGTCACAGTGGAAACATGCTAGATGACTTCCAAATTTAAACTGGTTAGAGATCCTTTGGGGGGTTCCTGATTATTATCTGTATGATCTCACCAAAACAGATGATGTAGTATCAATAGTAATGAAATTATGAGTTAATAGATTACTATTGGATTGTCAGGAGGTTATATTCTTCTTGAGAGATAACTTAGAGTGTATTGTTCAAGAATTTTTCCAATGCAGATTAAAACCACGTAATCTCTATTCCCAAAATGAAAGAGAAAATCCTGCAAATGCACAGCTATTATGGTACACTCAAGACATATAGAGATCAGATGAAAAAGTGCATGAACTATAGATGATCGATACAACAGTCTGAGTAATTAAAAAAATCTGGCTTTCCCATAGTTTCATTTAAACATACAATCAGAAACATCTTTTTCCTGACTTATCTCCCTTGCCTTTCTCTGTCTTTTTCTCCACTTTAATGTCTGATCTCTGAAAATTGTGGTGAAAATAGAATAGAAGAATATAGGAAATTGTTATTTTAATGCAAAAAGTTGCATTGTTTTTAGAGAATCTTTTTCTAGGAAACTTTTTCAGAAGCAAGTGTGTCACTGGGCAGACTCTGCAGTACAAAAATTCTGAGACTCTTGGACAAGCAGTATTAAGGAAATCACTAAGAGAAAGGATACCTTGATATATGTGCTTATACTCATATCGTTTAGTTAAATAAAGACCCAATGTCTTATTCCAACAGACATGATAAAAAAAGTTAAAAGAAACATTCCCTTAATATTAAGAAGTTGTTGCCTTCTTCAGGGAACATCATAACTGATGAAGCAATTAAGTTTGAAACATTTTAAAATCCTTTTGGTCAAGTGCATTTATGTTAAATGACTTCATTCTGACAAAGATCTGTTACTTCTTGTAAAGACAGAGACAGTACTCATCTGTACTTCATTTTCAAACAGGCTTTTTCAAGAAATGCTTCATACTGCAGAGCACAAGATGATGAATATCGCTTAGAAGTTACGACTCCTCTGCAGAGGGTTGACTTGTTCATGGGCCAGTTCAACAGTGTCCTGCTGACTTCGATATCTGTCTTCACCAAACAGAACCTTACCATTGCTAATCTGGGAACTTCAGAGGGCCGCTTCATGCAGGTAAATACTACTACACTAACTTCACAATAAAGAAATCATAGTGGACTTGAGCAGGATGGTGAAAAGTGAGAAGCATTATTACCCCCAGTTTAACAGGGCATTAGCAAATTGAAATTACCAAATAAAATACAACTTCTGGAATATAAACAAATAGCCTAATGGAACACTCAGCATTTTAAGTGTTTACCTGGATTTTGTGGTTTGAAGCAGTGGTTGTGGAGCAAATTTTACCATGATCTCCACTTAGTCCAGCTGGCTCAGTTCACAGAGCAGTTTTGGTTCATATGAACAAGAGTTCTTTCAAAGAAAACTGAACTGAAAGCTCTGTTTTGGATACATATCAAATATGCTCCAACCCCAGCTGGGGTAGAAAGGTTCAAACAGCTTCAGAAATACACTTCATATGGGTCCTTTGCTCTAGAGGATCAGATTAAACCTATTCAATGTAAAATGCCAAGACAGCTTATACCGTAGAAGCAGGAGCCTCAGCATTAGTTGTTTCTATATACTGATCCACTCCTCTGGCACCAAATTCCTTGCTTTTATACCCATAGCCTATGACTCACAGCTGTAGAATTGAGATTAGCTCCTTTTCCACCTACTTTCAAGTTTCTCTGAATGCGTCTTAGATTTTCAGGCTCTTGCTCACTCCCATCTCACTCTGTTCTTTTGGACAACAGTTCTTCCTGTCCTAAAAGACGTTTTCCATAAAAAATGGTAAATCACCCTGCTGAGTAGTCTGTCTCTGTCCAGTGAGTACTTAAATAATCTAGACAGGTACATTATACTACACAACTTCTTTGTAGGCACCTAAGGAAATAAATGGAACCCATAGAGGCAAGCCATTTAAAAACTTGGCAGTCAAAATTAAACACCAGAAGACAAAGACAAAATACTTTGAAATCACCAGGGGCTCCCTCTATACACCCATCTTATTTCAAGCACTGTCATCCTGCAGTAACCTCCTTGGAGTGTTTGACTTCTCCAGCTGCCACAAAGTCCAGCCTGGATGTGCATCTCAAACTGGATCCTTCTTGCACCCAAGGACCCGTGTTCTTTTAATTTGCCATTATTATTTGTCTTCTTGTGGGCTTCCTGATGTATTGGCAGTCTTTGGCCCTTCTTGCTCTGTAGGCTACGGAGAGTCATCAAAGTTGGTAGTGTTGTCACCTAACCGTCATTAACTGAAACCTGATGTGAAGGCCATTAGTTGCTATGTCATTCCAGTTTTCCCATTTCCCATAACCTTCCATTAGAAAACACTTGGGCACATGTAACCTTTCAGGAAAACAAGCCTCTCCTTTCTTGTCTTCCTTCCCCTCATTTTCTGTCCTTACCACATGCAGTAAATAGAGTTACATATTGTCCCCAGTATATGCACCCTGTCTGGATAAAGGGAATCCTGTACCTTCAGTCTTCTGCACAGGCTGGACACAGCCTGCAGTATAATGCAAATTCTGTCATGCTTCTACAGGGAAGGAGGTCAAAGTGATTTGCCACAAAGAACAGATGAAAAAGTGGGGAAAACCATACTTCTCTTTTCCCCGAAAAGAGAGGGATTTAACAAAACCTTCAGTGACAAATCTGCCAGTTTTTCCTGCACTTCCCATGATGACCTTGGTAACTTTAAGCTGCAGTTTGTCTTTTGCGCAGGAAAGGCAAGTGCTAAGAGCTACACACTGAGCACAGGTCCAAACTATGCTCTGTTTTTAAAAGCAGATACTGATTCACAGAGCAAACATCAATTTGTTTAACCTTTCTGAAGTAATTTCCTTACTACAAAATACAGTTAATAACAACTACTCTTACTCACAGCATTTCTTCTGGGCTGTCACAAAGCTTTTAGGAAGGTTTGGTAGAAAGCACAAGGGAGCATTATTCTTATTTATAATGTTCTTTAAATTATTCATTCAAGTCCTGCACCACACACTTCATTCAGATGTTTGCACAACTCAGAGAACAATTAAATATTTCCAGAATACATTTCCCATTCCACGTTCAGTTACAGATCAAAAGAAAAGGCTATTGTGTAAGCTGCACATGGCCATTAGCAGAAATATTCTCATCATTGAATCAGATTGGCTTGAGCTACAGGGGGAAGTCAGCATTGGGCTCATATTGTAGTAAGTAGGAACACTTTCTTTGAGTGTTGGGTGCAACCAGCAGAGAATAAGCAGACTGACTACCTTTGATGATGCCACCTCCAAATAAAAATGTTAGTATTTGTTTTGCCTTTAAGTGATTTTGGAAGTGATACCTGATCTGTAGGATACAGCAGACACGGATTTTTCCAGAATTTAATATTCTCTTACATTTTTTTGTTCATTTTTTTTTCCTAATAGTTATCTAGGAAGTGATTTCAAACATGATCATTACTAAATGCTCAACTAAAGCAGATTTGTGGTGTTTCTATGGAAATATAGCTATTAGCTGCAATGAGATTGAGATCGTTAAAAATTGAGCTATTATATGACCATTACTTAAGTGAAATGGGTTTTAAAAAAATCAGGATTGTCTAACAATGACTTAATTTACCAAAAAGATATCCCCAAATGCTTCCACAGATTTTTAGCAAAGAAATGTAATTATGTTCTTTTTTGTTTCATTCACAAATCTACTGGAACTTATTGCAAAGAATCCTCAGCTGTTCGCTTATTACGCATCTCACTTTTGCACAGTCATTTGCACTCATATTTTTAGCTCTTTGTACAAGCAAATACTGAATTTTCTGCACTCCCCTTGTAACTTGTAGCTGTTCAGAGCTGACTATATCCTTTCAGACACAGGCATGCTTTCAGAGAAAATTAGTTACAGAATTCTACCTATCAGGGAACCCGTTTTAACACTGGTTGTATTGTGTTAGTATCTTGAGAACATATTTTCATGCCAACTAGTTAAAAGCAAAAGAAAAAAATATTCATATAGGTTTCTAAAATTAGAAAATCAGCTCAGCCGTTCCAGTGCACCCAGTTCATCTTGTATCTTCTTTGAAATTCCAAACCTTACTATATTTAGACAATTTAGTTTCTGACATAAATTTCAGTACTAGCAGCCATCCATGAGATTAAAAGAAATAGTGGTACAGTACCTCTGTCTCTGACAACTGCACCCTGCAGTGCCCAAATATGGAACAGCTTGGTGAAAGTAATGAATGTTTAAATCACATTTTTCTGTATTAATTTAGGGTTTCCTTTTGTTGTTAAGAAATGCTTAGTGGGGGGGGGAAATCTTTAAAATGTAGTAATTGTGTCACCTAAATTGAAGTGAAGCTCCAAGTCTGTGCTGTGGGAGCCAGAAGGTGCAGCAGCAAGCTACTGATCCTCAACCTGAGAGAAATTTTTTGGAAAATGTTTCTCATATTCCCCCATTATCAGCAGCCATCCACTTAATTCTCTGTCTCTTCTTTCTTTCCTCTTTCTTGCCACTTTTCCATCTCCTTTTGGATTTCTTCTGCTCATCACTTTCTGTCTTCCTACACTCCTCTCATCTCCAACTTTATTTCTATCTCCATCCATTTTTATCTCTTTACAACATGACACAGCATTGCTGAAAAATTCAGCAGATTTAACATGTATGTTTTTCCTCCTGTAGGTGATGGCTACCAGATTCTGGGGTTTTGATGTATTTTGAAATATATCAGAATTAATAGTTCCTAGCTTTGAAAGTGATTCCACCAAAGCTTATAGCATTACCCATCAAAACTCTGTTAATGACTCTGTTAATGAACATAGTCCACATTTCACTTATTTTAAAAAAGTCTTCTAAAGAACCAGTAATATTCAGAATGCAAAAGCAGGTATGTTTTATCGAACCAAGGAATGTTTTATCCAACCCGTTGTTATTCTGCTTGTGTTTTTAGTTTGATAAAATAGAATTATTCACTTGAATCGCTCTGGAAAGCTCTAATACAGGAAAGTAAATACAGCCTCCTTCACTAAATGTTTACTTTTTTTCAGCCAAATGTAGAACTAAAATTAAATCAATATGGATGGTCCAAATACAGAAGATTCATGGGTTCTTTTAAGGAGGATAATTGGGGCCACGAGGTGAATTCCAGATCTCTCCTGGAGAGTACTGCAGCCCATTCACATACTGAGTATGTTTTGGCTGCATCAGAAATGTTAAATCTGTATTTGGCCATGAATAGCTTAGAGTTTGTAGTTTACGAAATATTGTGGAGTTTCTGTTACAAAACAGAGCAGTAATAATTTTTCTAAGACAGCTGACATGCATGAGACAGAGAAGAAAAATGGCTTTACTTCCTTCCTAAGCTGGAGCTTGACAACAAACTTTTTTTCTCCCTTCTTTTTTTTTTTTCCGTTGAGAAGTTGCAGCTGTTTTGGCCTTTCTTATTGTGCTTGTTTTCAGACTGTGACTGGGAACACAGACTGAAACTACAGCTGTTGGGTGCGAAGTGAATCAGGTATTTCACAGTGGTTACTTCATTAGAAAATAGCACCCAGTCACACCGCTGTAGCCGAGGAATAAGATTTTCAGCTGGTGTAAGCAGCCTTACTCTGCTCGAGCCAAAGAAGCTGCACTGAGAATACAACTCACAACTGATAAAGACACTTTCATTACCAGCCAATATTTTGGAAAATCATAATTTGTAAAATAAAAACAAAAAAACACCCCATGATATATTGATATATTGAGATAAAATAGCTTTTATTTTTGCTCAGTTGTTTGTGGTTTTTTCTGCCTGGATCTTGGTATTATTTCAGACAGTGGCTTATAAGAGAAGAAGAAAAGAGCAAAGTTCTTCAGGAAGGGGAAATCTTTGTGATACTCTGGGAAGTGTGAGGTATGGGAATGTTTTACAAGATTTATTCTGAAAAGCTCACGGCTGAAAACTTGTAACCATGAACAAGAGATGGATGCCCTTGATGTATGCAGAGGCTGGATTTTGGCCTAACACTATGTTTGGAAGCAGAATACTGCACGTGCTCCCTATGCTTCAAGCTGGCCTCACCAAGGTAACACCCAACTAAATACACTTC